GAACAAGATCTGGAGAACAGTCTACACCAACAGATCTGGACATTTGATGAGGAGCTGGGCTGGAGGTACAGAAGGCAGAGGGTAGAACAGCACCAGCAAGCTCTCTTTCCTTTCCTTGCTGTTTAACACAGAGCAGGTGGGAAAAGGCCACACAGGGCAGAAGTCAGTATCTGCAGAGAGTATGCAAGACAGCTTGCCTCCTCTTTTGGATTTTTAAGTTTTACCAAGCCACACCAAAACAAGGTTAAGATGATTTCACTGACTGGATTAGGCTACAAAGAGTACAAGGAAATCAGGAAATAACTCCGTTGGCGACCCTATTTATCAAGAGTTTCTGCATGGTTGTGACATCTGTTTTGCTTGCCCTATACTTTCAGCTAGGCTTTGCCACGGCAGGGTTATCACTGAAGCACCAGCTGAGGAGTAACACCAGCCAAAGGTGAAGTTTGACACACCTAGGAAAGAGAAAGCAAGTACAACCATCTAGGAGAAGGCTGGGTGAAAGGCAAGGAACAGGGCAAACCCCTCTCTGAAAAAGGATGAGGTTATACTGCAGGATAAGATAATGTGGGGTGAAGAAGAAAACACCGGACTGATGTGCTGTTTGACTAAGGGCTTTGGAGACTACAGCAAAGTCTTAGAAATGAATTCCTGTTATAAAGCTGACCTGGAACATGTACGTGGTACTGCAGTTGCTTTACTTTTAGCAGCTAACTGAATCCCTGCCAAAATTTTCTGGCAGCATGTTTTTTGGGGAAAAGAGCTGTCTAGAGATTCCAAGGGGAAGCGTGCAGAGATGAGCAAAATGTTCAAAATCGGCAAAAACATCAACTGTGCTGCCTGCAAACAGAACATTTTTTCCTGTACAACCCTTCCACTATGGCCCAAACAGCCAAGATTTTTTTTTTTTCTTTCCATAAACAGAGGGGCTCAGTATCACTGCTAAAACAGCCAAAATAAAGCAAAATAGGCACATCCAACATCTGAATACTCATCACCAGTGCTGGTTTGTTGTACAGTAACTAAATGATCTGAGACCATCTAAACCCTCTAACTTTGAAAGCCTTCAGCTGAGATCTTCTGCACACAGTGACCAGCTGCCTCTTTCCATGCTCCACGATTCCTGAAGCACAGTGTACTATTCTTCCAACCACACTGTGCAAAAGACTTCCTACACATTTGCTTGCTGTGTCCAGAGCCTCTGGAATTATCTCATTTCATAATATTTCATGCTGCTCCTCAATAGGCAAGGAGAGACACAAGGATGGACATCAGGAGACCCGGATTTGGTTTTCAATCCACATTATACACTAAACTTGGGAAAATCCAGAACGTCTAGAGCCGTACTTCTTAACCTGCAAAATGTGAGAACTGCTTTCCTCGATTACCTTTTCTCCTGTATTTTGAAAAGTGGTATTTGGGAACATTTAAGCAGTAAGACACCTGTCAAGCCTGGACAAAGGCCAATACTGGAAAACTCCAGCAAATCACAATCACATCATAACAGACCTGAATAAAAACTGCTAGTAAGCAAAATCCAGCAGCTGCTGCCATTTTCCCAAGACCACAATCTTGCCCTTGGGGAACGTGAGCTCTCTGGGGAGCCCAAATAAATTGTTAGGTTAAAATGTTGAACCAGCTCAAACACCATCCAAACACCTTTCACTATGTGAAGAATTGCAACAGTAAAGCCCCTTCTTCCCTTTTACTTTTTACAATTCTATTCCAAGACAATTAAAAGACATAGTGCACTTCCCCCCCCATGTTACCAGCTACCAAGCTTGAGATAAGCACTAATTAGACCTTTATATAGCTATTAGACCTACATACATAAAAATCTGGATATAGCTTTATTATTTGGCAACTTGTCATTACTTTTTTTTTTTTTTTAATAAGAGATCGGTGGGGAATCTAAACTGAGCTGTTATCTAATTTTAAACACAGGCTGTCACCTGCTGGGCATATCATGTTCTCAATTGCTCCACTTCACCCCTTAACAAAATAATACCTTGATTTTGCATCCTATTCCACTACTGTCAAGGACCGGTTTGTAATTACTGCAGCCTTACTTGCTGTCTAGAAATGTTAAGATCAGCCATTTTCAAAGACCAGCTTCCCTCAAATTCTTAAACAGTGAAAAAGATCCTTTTTACAGGAAAAACTCCAAGTGGCCACAAGACAGGATCACATTTCAGAAAGTATGTCCAGCAAAGACAGACTAGTTTTCTTTTCCATTTCAAATGCCCCCTCCTCTTCCTCTTCTCCCCACAAAGCTGTGGTGGTAAATAAATCCAGGATTTAATTCAACGACACTAGCAAGAAGCTCTGTTTCCAGGTACACAATAGCACTGGTGGTCTGAGAAGGTCAAGAGGAGCAGAAACTTCTCAAAAGCATGTACATGCATACACTGGTTAAAATCAAAACAGAGAACCATGAAACCACACTTAAAAGGTGCTGCTAACTTAACTGTTCATTAACTGAAAGTTATTATTAACTTTTAAAAAGCTCATCTATTCCCAAGCATGTAGAGCTCTTGCTCTCCACACCATCAATTCACTGCTCTAGACTATTTACATGCACTATCACTGCTATTCACCTTGAAGGTCACAAGAGTGCCTCACCACATGTACCTGCCAAAGATATTCAACAAATCCCAGTAAGGATTTGTACTGCAGATGTGATCACAAGCTCTAGAATACGAGTCTTCTTAAATTTAAAGAACACATCCCTCCTGTGTCTCCCCACCCAATCCAGAAACCTTTTTCTAACACTCATAATGGCAAAACAAGCTTTGAAAACATTAACCAATTTAAAATCAATGTTGGATGTTTGCCTGAATTTGCAGAAAGTATAGAAAAATAGGTCTCATGTTTGCATTATTGCCCTCACCTCGGTGTGGTATAAGATGCTCTCCGCAACGCAGAAGCAATGTGAATCTCAACACAGAAACCCACTCCTCCCAAGGAACCATCCAGCAGTGCATGCCACTAACATGTTTATTCCATGATCGCAGAGAGACCTGTGTGCTTGCCCTAGAAAAAAACCTGAAATACTCTGCTTCCTTTTAACAAAATCTGGTTTTATCTTCCAAGCTCTTTTATGACGCAGCCAGGCACTGCTAAGTACAAAAGTCTGTGCCATACTGAGAGCACAAAGACAGTTAAAGTACAATCTTTCCATTAAAATGGCAGAAGGCTTATTGTTCAGAGTGCATTGTTTGTGTGTGATTCAATTAAGCCTCTCTTTCAACATGTCCATGGTAGAAATATGGTGACCATACCACAAGCTCCAGTGTGCAGCTGCACTCCACGCTGTTGCTCATTTTAGATCCTGCTTGCCACAGACCCTGTAAGCCCTTGCATACATGGCTCTTCCTCCACATTCCCACCCACACAAATCCAAAACTGAGTCTGACCTTCCCCACTCTGCTTTGTTCATACATCCCCATACAGTCTGAACAAATTCCAGACATCTGTCCTGCCTGTGTTGCTGACTGCTACAATCTGAACCAGCCAGTCTGAGGCAGACATGTATTCATTCACACCTGTTTCTCAGCCTATTAGGGTCTCTGGAGCTGCCCACTTGGTTCTGAATCATTTCTTGACCTGTTTGGAGACTTCTGAAAATAAAGCTGCTGTACAAGGTCTGCAATACATTCAAATCCTGCCGTAAATATTGACACAGCCAGTCACTACAGTGTGTCTTGAAGGAGTCTACTAGAGTCCTGTTTAATTTACAACCACATCCACCATGCTTCACTGGTTAATCTGAAAAGTAAAAGCGTGTTTCTAGACCAAAGGATGAAGTGTCAGCTATTCCTGTCCTTGGATCCAGGTTAAGTGACACTCTTCGTATGTATAATACATTTCCACACACACCCACACACATCCACACCCACCTACCCACCCGCACCCCTGCCCCCACTACTTTGAACTGTGGGCACAGCACAGGGATTAAGTAGCTAGCACACCTGCATAAAAGCTACAAGATACCACTGGGTATGGTAAGAAAATATCTCCAGTCTCTAATGTGGAGGTGCAATGTTCGGAGTTCCACATTTCCAAATTCTGGGAGCACATGTGCCTTCTCAGCCTAGGCTCCTGGCAGTACAATGGCATGTCAACATCAGTGTTCAACCCTTTGTGCTCCTCATCAAAAAAAGGAAGACATGATCAGACTGGCACAACTCAAAGTTTGCCTTTAAAATTCAGCTTTTCTTACTTCCCTATCCTTTCAACTTCCCGTTTTTCCATACATCTTTATCAGAGTTTTGCTGACCTGCTTTGACCTGCCTGCTGCTGTCAAAAAGGACTTAGCAGGTATATTCACTCAACCACTCACTAGAAACATGGTAGTTTTAAATCCCAGATTTTGTGGAGGAGGATATAAGAGGGATTGCAATGGGCAATATATGTTCCTTACCCACACTATTCAGCCACTGTCAGCCCACAAGATTTGCCCAAGATCCTCGCCACCCAAGGAGCTGTGCTCCAACCACCTGAAGAGAATAAACATCCTAGCCCCCCTCCTTTAAAGTACAGACTTTAAAAAAGATTAAATCTGATTTAAACTGTTGTTCTTGCAAAGAACTAAAACAATAATATGAAAGATACTGAATTAATTCTCCGTTTGAGTGTGTCAAACTCCAGTGATGTGCACATCAGCATCTCTCCCTTCAAGTGTGGTTTCCTCACTCACGTGCAATGTTATTTTGAGCACCTTCAGTATTGCCCAAATCAGTGAGAAGATCAAACAACAATCTCCAGTCATGAACATGTCAAGATGACCCATTACTCATCAAAAAGCAGGCAATCCCATTGTAACAACCCTATTTATCTTGCCATATCATATCAACTCCAGTTTGTGTTGCAGTGGAATTTAATAGCAACACATAACAAGGGCTGAGTACAAAACCCCACGGGACACAAGCCAGACCTGTATACTGGTATGAGAGCCATGCAGATTAGGAAGGGAAGCCATACAAAATGGAAGGACTTACACCAGAGTTCATAGTAGTAGTTGCAACACTGGGATTGTCCACAACAGTGGCCCGTTTCACATATGTAACTTTGATTGTTGACACCCATGCAGGTTTCCTTGTCCTAAAATTAAACAGACACACTTTTAAGTTGCTTCATCAGTATCTTCTGTAAATGTAATCTTTTACTCAGTGATCTGCAAGCACTTGAAAAATCACAAGTTATGGTCTTGGGAAACTCTAAAATACAGATAGAGGTTAAAATACAGCTAAGGATCACAAAAAACCACGAAGAGCTGTTCAGAAGAAAACCCTGTATCTCCCAACTCATGAGTTACATTGCTTTAGCATCTAGCCAGCGCTGCTTTCTCATAATTCCTTTCCTTTTTTCATTAAAAGTTACCACGTTTTAAGAGCCAGGCATTCTCTTAAAGAAGAGGTGTCATTTGTTCCACATTTTACACAATATCACTGCATTACTGCAGCTAAAAGCCAAGTGGAGGAAATTAATTCATAAACAGATCATTATAATTTAAGAAAAGACTGCTTGGATTCATTTAGACCTAAACGATAATTACAGTATGTTCCTGTGAGATTCCAATCTAAAACAATTCCTTCATAATTAGCCATGTACTTTATATAAGATCAGCATTCCTGTAAAACTTCTTCCTGGAATAGCGAAGTAGACCAGGAGCAGAGCCAGATCAGCTGTACTGTATAATCCAGCAGGTCCTCAGGACACTCAAGATGGAAAACGACTATGGTGTGAGGCCTCAGTCCCCCATGTGCTGCACCACTTCACAGAAGTCCATGTTTTCCTGCTAGTCTGAAAACACGGGTGGGAAAAAGTACAAAACACAGGAAAACAGAAGCATTTTACAGGTTGTTATTTGTACATACTCTAATAGGCTTTGGGGCAACCTGGAAGTTATAAGAAACTACAGTTTCTTAAGAAACAAACGGATCTTAATAAAAAACATCGATGTAACAAAGCCTAAAATTTTCACTTTCTTTCACTTAAAATTTATTTTAAAGTAAAGAAAATGTGGGAGTGTTCATACTGAAAGATGTGTTAAAATAATTCATTTTATAAGTACCATCTTTCAAAACAAACAAACAAGCAAGCCCAACACAAGCCAACCAGCTAAGAAAGAAAAGCAAACCGAACCAGCAGGCTACAGGATCCCAACGCTTGCTGAACTGCACTGTTCCTCTATTTTATGTGAGTGCACCAGGGCCGCACTTCTTATAAGCCTCTATGGAGTCACCACATGTGCAAGATACAAAGCCCATTTCAAATTACAGACCAACTGTTGTGGTTTAGGCCCAGCCGGCAGCTGAACC